AGTATAAAAAAGTATGGTTACATGTCATTAACAAAAAGAAAAAAGAAGACCCAGGTAAGTACTTTTTTATTGTTTTTCATGTGTATTCTTTATTTATTATTATAAAAGTAACTAAAATGTAAAAAGAGGGAACGCTTTATGCTAGTTAAGGTTAGATTAGTTGAAATAAATAATAATAGCATTTTACACGAGGTTCGCTTATGAGTAACTCATGCATGATTTAATTTAATAGCACAACATAAGTTGCACTTTTACCAAGTGATTTATAACTTATAATGGTGCAAATAGTAATTAGACAGGGTTCAAAGGGCAAAGAACAATAAAATTTAAGTAAAAGAAAGGATGTATCTTCATAAACAAAGAAGATTGAAGGCTATAAATATTAGAAAATGCCTTAGTAGTATCTACACTATAATGGATAATTTAAGATAAACTCAGAACACCAGAGAGGGGTGATGAGAAAAATGGAGAATGGACAAGTTGGAGTGAACAAATGCCATGATACACATACATGGGGTTTGAGAATTTATTTATATGTCCTTTTAAAATTAAAATTAAAGGTAGAAATTATATAATATTAAAATTTGACTTATTAACTATGTTTTCATGCAGTATTTATTTGCATTCATTGATATTAACATAGTTTAATTAAATTTGGAATGTAACTTTGTGAAAAGTCATGGCATGCACACTTTAACTAATCTGTAACTGGATTTCCAACTAAGCTATAAATGAATTAAAAAAATGTGTTAACAAAAAAGGCATATAAAGAAATTGTGGTCAAATATTTCAACACCACCTGGTGCCTGAATTAACTAGCTTCACAATGAATTTAGTAAATCATAATATTCTCCTTCTGTTAGTTATAAATAATTCACCAGCAATGTGCAGAGAAAATTATGAATATTTTTTTCAAAGACAGGATGTGATAGAAGGAGCATGGCATGTTAAGAAGTGTAAAATGGTCATGAAATGTGCACTTTGGCCCATCTGTGTATGTAAGGTTAATAAGTGCACAATCTTTCTACTAAGATCACACACCAATTCCCCACCTAAACAAAACTAAATGCTTTGAAAATATCATGTTATATGATATTGAAAGGTTATAAAAACAAACAACACTCTTTCCAAATAAGACTTGAGAAGGTTTTTACCTAAATGATCAAGCACTTAAGTCCAAAGCAGATTCAATGCTAGTGCCTGTTCTCTAGTAAACTTATTAAAAATAAGTACCTGTCCTGTTCAATTTGTGCCTTCACTCTTTCTCGAGCCAGACGTTCCTCCTCCTTTTCTCGTGCCCTTTCTTGTGCTAATTCTTTAACCTCCTGGTCTTGTTTTTGTTGCCGGAATTTCTGCAATTCTTTACCAAGTTTCCTTCTCTCAACTTCTTCAATTTTTTCTTTCTATAATTATTAACAAGTTAGTGAATTAAATCTTAAGAATATAAATCAAATGGAACAATTAAATTAAAGAATTCAAAACTTCTGAGAAAATACAATACAATAATTTATCATGAAGCTCAATCACTTAAATTTATAAAAAATGTTCAAATGGTTGAGCTTCAAGATAAACTATTGTATTGTATTTTCTCAGAAGTTTTTGAATTCTTTAATTTGATTGTTCCATTTGATTTATATTTAATATACTTATATTTATTATACATTTTTATAAATTTAACCTGTACATGCCAGTGGTTTCACTTCAAATTTCCTAAATCAATAACCTATGCTAAATTTTTTAATTTATAAAACATGAGTATGAAGTTTCCAAGTAAGCTCTGACTTTTCCCCAAAGGTTCTCGAACTTTTAATTTCATAACAAAATGTAGAGAATCTAGAAAAATTTACATGTAAAAGAAAGGTTAAACAGATAAATAAACTAGAAAGAAAAGTTAACAAGTAATAATTACTTTATAAACAATCTGTAATGAAATGTTGGTAAAGCCTATATAAAAAAAAAATCACTAGGGTTATCATCAAAAGTCACACTTTCTGTAAAACTCAGCTACAAAATTTGCCTTAAAAAACAGTTTCCACAAATTTAGTAGTTTTAGTTTAACCAATTCCAGTTGAGTAGTTTTCTACTTCTGCATGTTCATCAAAATAAGTCACTTATAAATGCCACCATATCTGAAAGTTGGACACTTCAAACAAATTATAATAAATATAGAACATTTTTTTGCTAAATTTATGAATCATAATGAAATAAACATCACTACATGATATACCTATATTACTATGCAATATAGCTGTAACTGCTGACGTGATAACTAGGTTTCATACACACTTAATGATAAAATCACAGAGCTAATTACATTATGTGCTACCTACTTTGTTGAAATACATTTTGCATTACCTTATATATATATATATATATATATAATTATAATTAAAAATAATATGATTATATTCTAACTATGTTATTATAGTTTAATTACAATTATGTTTAGTAGAAGTCCACTGTAAGACTCCATTAGCTTCTTCTTATCAGTGTGAATTTTTGTACAGGAATGAAACTGGCAAAATAACTGCTTCAACAAAATAAACAATTAAGTAGAAGACCCAATAAAATATCAAATTGACTTATTTCTTTTACATAGTACATATGAAAATAAAACAATGAAATAATTGCATTATTTGAAAGCATGAAACCAAAGTGAGGTTTCTGAGCATAATAACTAAAAAAAAGTTTAAAAAAGTTACAATCCATATTATGAAAAAGCAAGCTCTATGGCAAATAGATTACCAAAAAGAAAATAATACCACCTACAAATATTCAGTGTTTTGAACAATACATGCAAGAAATAAGCAACAAATATAAAGACTACAGATCTGCAGATATATTTCAAATGTTTACAAGTTTTACTTCTATCTGCAGGTTTAAATACTTCTGTTTCCAAAATAAAAATTACCTTAAATCTTAAAATTAAAACTACATTTAGTTTGTACACGATATGACAAAAGAGACAAAAAGGCATTTTCCAAATCAACATTATCACATAAACACCAGATGCTGGGTTAATTAAAGCATTTTATAGGAATAGAAGTGTATGATAGCTCTTCATTATATATATATATCAGTTGCTAAAATAAGCATTACACACAATCTAAGCTCTAAAAAGTTTAAACTCAATTTTTTTTATTCTTTTTCAAATTATTTAACACAAAAATATATGATAGAAAATTTGTAAATTCCAAAACTAAAATTCTACCTTAGCATCTTCAAACAGAATAACCAACATGTCACAACATCTTGAAAAAAACATAAACAGGTGATAAACCTTCCAGGAAATCAGACTTGCTACTAGATGCTTAGGTCTTAATGGCAAAAAAACAACAATAAAATAAAGATTATGGTGATATAAAAAGCAAACTTATCTATTTTATGCTTGTTTTCACACACAATTTTAAACATTAATAGAATAACAAATTCCATCTTTATCTTTAATATTTAGAACAAATAATATAGTATCACTGCTCTTTTGTATTGTTAATTAATGTTTCTCAGTAGAAGTTTAGAATGCAAGGCTGATTACACGTTTAAGTAATTGCACTCTAACATTTTAACACCTGGTCCTTTTCTAGTCTGCATCAAACTTCCACAACAAACAAGACAATCCAAACTATTTACTGACTGCCCACCAAAAGATCATAAATGTCTACATTGATTTCCTGACTCTTGTATACTGTATTGTCAATTTAATAATATTCGAAACTGTATTTAATAAAAATTTGGTACATGGGACCGAGTGTTGCTTTCTGCTATAAACATAATTAAAATTATTTTTTGATTTATGTATTAAACTGACAATTCATCTGGTACCCAGAGCTGGTGTAATTTCCTAATGGCTAAAAAAAAAAACATAATAATAATATTCTGATTACTTGAATAGTTTGGAAACTTAAATTTGATTATTTATTTTATTGCATTGTGATGCTGATTGGTTAAGTAGAAAAAACTTGAATTCATCAAAAATAATAATGAAGTCATATTGGAAACATTACAATTATTGGATAGTTTATGATATTAACTGATCTAATCACAATTTTGATTATTATATAGTTGGAATAATCAAAATCGCTAATAATCAAAAACACTGGTTGATTATTTGAGGCATTAATCATAATTTTGATTAATCAATTATTCTATGTGATGCTAATCATTGCTGAAATGTAACAGATAATCGATTATATAGAGTAATCAAGTTAGTTTCTCAGCTCTACATCAAGATCAGTAAATGCTTCTTCAACACTGAAACTCTTAACGTTAGTCTGAACTTACCTCTTGTTGCTCTTTTTCCTTTTGAATCTTTTTCTCTTCCAGAAGTTTTCTGGCTCTGAATTTTTAAAAGTGCACATAATAACAATTAAACTAAGAAGACACAATATTTTGGCTAATGATGTTTAAAACATTCATATCTACAGTATTCAAGAAAAAGTCAGTTTATATTATCCCAACATAATAATTATGTCTGGCAACGTTAGTCTAAAACAAGGTATAATTAAAAACAGGATCACCATGGTAAAACAAAACAACATGTTTAATCTTCAGACATTTTGTAATTTACACATTTCATCATTAGCAATCTAAAATGTTTTAAGGAAACATGCATATGTATTAAATAACAAAGAGTACAAGTCTTAATATAGAAAAAAAAGTGTATCTATCTATTGATAACTTCAAAATTCTAACATCAGGATCTTCATACTTAGAGCTTTTGGCCAAAGAAAGTCTATGTATCTCAAACAAATATCCAAGTCTAAGTTACAACCACAGTTCCTTTCAGTTCTCCTTGTTTTGGTATATACATTTTATTAAATTGTATTCTTAACTTTCATAAAATTTACTTATTTCTTCCCCCCTCTATATATTTTGTATACATTTTCTAGCTCCATATTAAAATCAGTACTGTACAAGTATATAGTAGTAGGCATCTGTCTGTCTCGAGAGACAATAATTTTATGTGCGCACATTTAAGGGTTTTATTCATTCAGGCACTTTTACGGTGACTGAAAAGTTCTATCCAAGATGTGCACTGACAGAGACATTTGTCACATTAAAAGATGATGTGCTGAGTTGGAGTGTGTAGTGTATTTCTCAGCTTTCTGCAAGTTCTTTTTGTACCACTTCATTTGCCCTCCTCAGTTCACGATCTCTTAGCCCACTGCTGACAGAACAGCATCAAATGCCCCTCTCCTCAGAAAGTGTCTCCCACTCATTGAGACTGATGTTAGTTGATGTTAAGTTTCTTTTGTTTGCACATTTAAATCAAAGATGGGGGCATCCTGGTGGTCTTTTACCCTGTTGCTAGCTCATCATATAGCAAGTCTTTGGGAATGTGACCATCAGGCATCCTCACAACATGACCTAACCATCACGGCCGAGGCTGGCTAAGAAGCTGTTACATAGTGGGAATGTCGGCCAATTGTAGTACCTCTGAGTTACAAGTATATATATACGTGTGTGTAAATACTAACCATGTTGTGTGTTTTGCTGTGGTGATCCTGATTTTAATTAAACTTTTTTTCCACCTAACAAACCTAGTCTAAAACAAGTTTGAAATAATGCAGCAAAAAGTATGATTGATATATTTAAGTAAACAAGGTATTACTACTTCTTTGTGATAGTTATTTCTATAAGCCATTCATTAATGGTATAATTTAAAATTAATCAATAGGGCTATGTTGAAAAATTACACCATAAAATGATAATATATTCCATCAGTCATGTTTCTTGAGCCATAACATATTTCATTTGTCAAGTTTTCTAATTCATAATGTGTTTCTTTACCATATTTCATTGACTTTTACAAGTTCTTTAGATTATAACATGTTCTTTTTGCCATATTTCAATAGTCATGACAAAATCTCTTTGCCATAGCATATTCAAATGGTCACAGCAAGTTCCTTTGATCTTGATGTATTACATGACATTTTTTGATTATAACATATTCCTCTTGTCATAACAATTTTCTTTGGATATAACATTCTTCTGGCCATAAGATATTCCATTAGTCATAATGTGATCTCAGTTATATATCCTGGTTAAAATGTTCATGCAAGATCATATCTCAAAAATTGAAACTATGCTAGTTTATGAAGGTTTAATATTTTCTGCATTTTGAGAAAAAAGGTAGTTTAGTTAGGTTGCAGACTTAAAAAAAGGTGTAAAAGTGTATACATATAGTTTTGTTGTTTAAAGGGTTTCCCTTCCTGTCCTGACAAAGATTTGATGGTTGCCCATTTGGCATGCTTGAGTTTTTTGTTTTTCTATTTAATGCCAAAAGTTTGTTTCAGATTTGTTTGTAAATCTTTGTATGGAAAAATTTTACTTATGGTACCAATATGGCAGTATAGAGACATCAAACTCTACTTTTTTAGTAATGCTATCAGGAAAAATATAAATTTTAACGAGTAGAATGTTTATTTAGGTGAATCTAAGTAAATTACATAATACAAAGTGACAGCCATTAATGCATGATATTAGAGAATGCATGTTGAGATATTATAATATTTATATACTTATAAAGCAGGAGTGGAGATGTTTGCTTCAAAGTGCTGTGTCATCCAGATTGTTTGTATGCAAGAAAACAAAATCTAAAGTTAGAACTGACTTAAGATTCTTCCAACTTTAAGGAAAAGGGTGTGTAATTAGTCTAAAATCATGCTTCAGGTTTAATTGATTATTTCACATGCTAAAAGGCACGTGAGAATGAAATTAGAAGTGCTGAGTAGGAAGTGAGCAAGGAGTATTTAAAGTAAGAACTGTAGAAGAAGAAAAAAGATGTTTCTTATAAAGAAGGTTGGCAACAGAAGATGCAAAAAAAGATAATGATAAAGAGAAGGCTGCCAGCAAGGCCACATTTGAAATATTGATGCCAGGTCATTTCCTCTTTCTCTGCAAACTATTACCTTTACAGTTCTGCACTGACCAACACTTTTCCATCTGTTCTTATGATCTCTGGGCAAGCACTTATCACCACAAATGAGATTAATTTATGCTGAAGGGAAGGGCAAAATACCCAGATAAATGTTTTTGAGGTGGTGGCTTCCTGTGAAATTCTTGACATCCAGTATATTTTTTGTTGAATGTGTGATTTTGATGTACAACTTGAAACATGTGATTGTGAAATTTATTGTCAGTTTGGGATCTTTTTCTAATCTTTCTTAAAGTACCATGTGAAAGATACTTTTCTGCTCAATACTAATTGCAATGATTTTCTTTATCCTCGCTTCTCCACCAGTAATAAGTGGGGCAGCTGGATGGTATTTCTGTCATGTTGAAGCATTAACCTTAGAATTCCAGCATTAAATTTTCAATCATTAACACCAGGTGGTATAGGGTCATAGTGACTTCTTTCTGGCATTCTAGGGTTAACAAAGATACAGCTTAAAGCAATTTGCTACATCAGATACTACTGCAACCAGCATTATGATACTGTCCACTTAGATTACTTTCACACCAACACTTCGTGATTAGTCCCCTTCATTACCCATTCAAGTCGTCTCCAAGCATTATTAGTCTCAAAGTGGGTTCCTCGTCATCGATTAGTCCCCTTGTCGAACCTTTAAGAACACAACTAAATGGACCTAACATGCAGCTTCAACTTTTTTCATCTCTCGTAAATAGGATTTGAGTGCAGAAAAAATGCTTTACCATGGTAACTGGACACCTATCAGAATCTAAAATAGGACATATTGGAGGATTTTTTCAATGGAAAAGCCTTATTAGTAGGCCGTTTATGTTACACCATATTTTCAGGGCCTGGCAACTTGACTAATTTTTCACAATGCATTACAAACTTGGAAAGCTATTTTCACTGCAAACCTTAAAAGCCAGACACTGTAGTGTACAGTGCTACAGTTTTTTAATGATACAATAACATAACTATATATTTAACAATCAGCTTCAAATACATATTATTTATGTAACCAGATAATACCTTTTTACTTTGTCTTCTACGGAAGACTCTGAAAGATCATCCTCTGCTTCATCAACTTTGTCATATCTGGCCTAAAAAAGTTATCAAAACACAATCACAATATAACACAAACATGTACCATCACATTAAAACAAATATTCATTAGTATTAGAAGGTAAGAAATAACTACCTTTTTACTAGTAGTAGCTTGGGTTATTTCAGAAGCACAAGTTGTAGTTTCATCAGATGGAATAGTAGCAGCAGGAACCTGATTTGTAGGAGTCTGAAAATCTACTGAACTACTCTGGCTGGATGATGGGGATGTTGTTTTATCTCTAGTGCCTGAATCAGGTAGTTTTTCAAGATTTGACTGATGAAGCTAACATACAAAGGAAAACATATAAATATCATATTTGGCTTTAATAAAATTTTTCTGAGATCAAAAACTAAAAAATATCAATTTTTTTTGTTAACCTGCTTATAAAGACAGTATGGCTAAATCCAAACCAAATTTTATGCTGATGAATGATATGCTTACAAAAATGGCCCACTGTCACATATGTTCACAAAGCACACTTTCTTAATCATTCTGTGAATTGTAATTGTTTTTATATAAACTTTTTGTCACTGAAAAACTAAATTATAATTATGTTAATCTGTTAGGAAAAATATTACAGCCAAATCCAGATGAGAGTTTATCCTGAGGAATGGTATTTTCACAACATTGGTTTAGAGTTATTTAAAGTGTTAGCAAAAATGATCTAGATAAGAACATTATGCTCACAAAAGTATCCTTGTTTTTTTGTATCAAAATTAAGTGAAATAATATATAGCAGTCACATAAACTAAAGCAAAATTCCCACAAACAAAACAGCTGGTGCTGAAATAGTTGGCAAAATGGTAAGAAAATACCTTATCAAAATTGTTTATATCAGATGATAAATGATTTTGCCTACTGAAACATTTTGTGAGTTTGATTAAACTTGACAAAATTTTTTAAGGATATATGATATTTAACAATATTGCAATAAGTTCATTTTAAAAACTGATATTTTCAGTCTCGATAATTTATATTTTTAAAGACAGAAAAGTGAATGATATTGCACTGGAAAATATTTATGTAATTTCAGGATTTTGAGTTCAAAATTAACTATTTGTGTTGAACTACTAAAAAGCACACTGACATCACAAAAGAGACTGGAAACTGAACTGTGCTATAAATAAGAGGATTAAATCTCTACTATCATCATTTGTCAAATGTAAGTAACCACTAATAAAGCAACAATGTATAATTATCAGACCAGCACTAGAACCAAACCATGTTCAAAGATACTTTTCATTATATTTCCAGTCTACTCTGAAAAAAACACTGTTGTCACAATGATTTATACTCTAAAGATATTATTATTTTTTCAGATATTTGGCTCGCATTTTATTATTTTTAAGTTATTTACAAACAGAGAAAGAACTTCAAAACACTAGCTTATTAAATTTGATTTTTTGCATGTTACGAAGGTGAGATAGTTTCTTATTGTAACTGTATGTATAATCAGCTGCACATGATATTTTACAAATCCTAATGTAACAAGCTAGAACTAAAGCTTGTTTATTTTATACTTTTAGGGGGGTAAGACACTAAAAAACACATCTGTAATCATTCTTTCTCAAAAATCATGTTCATACACACTGACACAAAAATATAAATGTACAATACAGGCAGTCAATTTAGAAATGTTCTAAATTATGTCTAACATTGCTTATTGTAGTATACATCTGTTTTTTGACTAAAAATTACTAATAATAAACATTCAGTTGATTTGAGTGCTGTAATTTAAATATTCTTAAAACCTACAATTTTGCAATGTTTATAAATCGCTATAAGTATCTTATTTTGCAAAATAAAATATAGGTATAGTTTTTATACAGAAAGACAAAATATATTTTGAAATTAGTTGTTCACTTCTTAAATTTGGTTGCTTAAATTTATAATAATTTATCAAACTTTAAACATTATAATTATTTATACCATCTTTTGTGGAGAAACCTAATTATCTATTTATTGATTTTCACAATTATTGAAAAGAAACAATTTGGGAGTATAGCTGGGCAATCAGTTCGATTAATCAATAGCCTATGAGAATCAATTATATTGATTAGTGTTCCATAAAATAATGAACTAATTTAAAGTTATCATTTTCCTAATCTGAAAATGCATTTCAAACATACTTACCTCAGCTGACACTTCTAGCTATTTCTCGATCTTCATCTTTGCCATTTAAACAACGTGTTCACTTGCTCCAGTCTTTATACCCCACTTGACTGCCCTCGGCAATATCTAATTTGCAAAACTTTACACCTAGCCCTCACATGCTCTCTATGCAGGTACTGTATATAAGCACTGTATGTCAACAATATAATCACTTTTTTGAGACTTACCCCATCCCAGACATTAACATTGGCTATTAGTGGGGAGGAAGGGAGGGAGAGTGTCAGTGGAGGTAAGTATGTTTGGAAATACATTTTCAGATTAGGAAAATGATAACTTCCAAAACATACGTACGTCCGCTGTCACTTATATCTAGAATCCCACATTGAGAAGGTGGAGAGGCCGATGAGGGCATAATTCGTACAGAAAGCATCGGCATAGAACAAAGGTGCACCGTGAGAAGTGGTACCCAAGCAAGGAAAACTGCACTACAACCAGAACTACAGAAAAGTGAAAAGAGTGGAATATTACACAAGTATGTACAGTGGGCCAGCCCCAACTACGCAGCTAAGGTTTCATGCTTTGGGGCTGGACTTAATGGGTCATGGTACCCATATCCCCCCCGTTGGAGGCAAGGGCAGTTGGACCTCAAATATATACATATCTTTGGGATTGGATCCTCACCAACATCCACAGAATTATGCGTTTCAAACAACTGAATTTATGAAAGCAAGAAAGCAACACCAAAGTGGACAATAGTTCTGATTTCTGATGAATCTGAGAGTCCAAAAGGCAACATCTCAGGCTTGGATTGATGGGATCATGTATGCCATACTCCACCCAAGGTCCAGAACTCATCCAGTCTGGATTTAGGAACAGTCATTTTCACTTCCCAACCAAGTGGGCAAGGACAATCCCACTTACCCATGGAATTATGGAGAGAACATGGAACACTGTTCCAACAAGGGCCTAAGATGGAACCACGTTGCTTTCGGATTTAAGAGGAGATAGTGGACCCCCTGCATGAACAACCTAAGACCTGACAGTGTTCATAAGAGGGTCCAAGCACACCCCCACCAGATGGCTAAGTGTCAAATTTGGACCGGTTTTATGAGTAGGCTCCCACATAAATTGGTCTCCTCCTACCAACATCTGGGAAAAAGTTCCATGGACCCAGATAGGAGGGTCCACAACTTCCACCTCTTTTCCGAGAGTGGAAAAAAACTAAACACTCTGAAGGAAAATCCTTTGTCCACCATCCCAGCAACTGGAAACTGGGTGTGGTAAGGACTCCCTAGATCCACTAGTAGCAGTAGGTAAAATATGTGTGTGATGGGGAGTCCTGAGGAACAGGTCTCCTGAGACAGTGCAACAGGTGAACCACATTCCCTAAGTTTTAAAAGCAAACCGATTTTGACTGATTCAGCTCTAAGATCAGCAGGGTCTGGCAAAATCCCCTTTAGCTTTACTCATGACAGTCCATGATAGACTGGACACAAAAAATCTGGGTATGATAGATTGTAAAGATGAGAAATGCCTGGGAAAAGAATAGGAAAAAATAATTTATTCCCTTCTCTTGCAGCGAGTGTTCAGTAGGAAGGATCTGTCCGGATAGTGCAAAAAATAGGTGGAAGGATAGAGAGTCTGCTGAACAGGGATGACAAATAAATCAGAACAGCTGCATCTGGAAGCTAACAACAATAGAAATATACCCCGAGGGAAAGGTAATACATAGGTTTTAAGGGATAAAGTGATAACACATGAAAAAAACAACTCTAAATCCCCAATTAGGCATTTGAAATGGTCGTTTGGGATGAAGAATATGAAAGGATCATAAAACGAGATAGCATAGGAGTCAAAAACCTTCATACACATAGGAGAGTGAAATGGAGCAGCAAAGGATGCTGTATATAATGCAAGATAGAAGCTAAACCTTTCAAAAATCCATGTCAAAAAACTTGAAACTATGGAGACTGTTAGATGAAGTGGGTTGAAGGCTCACTGAAGGCACCACTGACAATATGTAGTCCGTTTCTATCGATAGATTGCCATAGTAAGTTGATGGAGGATATAGTCAAATAAATGGAAACTGTAGAATGTAAACCCCTGTGGTTGGGCAAAGGACTGCATAGCTTCCATGCATGAAGCTGGAGTTGTTAAACATCCAGGTGTTGAATGTTAGACTGAGGTTCTCTCAACAAAGATGAATGAATAGGTAGTAGTAAACATTCCTGGAGCAACTGAAGAAGAGAAAACCATGTCTGAGCAGGCCAAAAAAGGTGCTGACAAGAGTACCCAACATGGGGTGAAATGAATCAGTCCTGCAAACTAGTAAGGGCAAAAAAGGGGTGCCTTTCAGAAATCACGAAGAGGAGTATCACAATACAGTAGTAAGAGTTAAATGAATCGCGAAAATGGAGATCTGGTAAGAGGGATAACAGGTTCTAACATGGAATTCCATTGATCCAACAACGAATCCAACTGTTGAGTGTCCAAATATATTACAGAAAGATGATGATAAGCCAGGGCATGTTGTTGTGATAAATGATGGGAGCAAGACATAGCAATATTCTCTCATAATTGCATTGCAAACATCCAAGCATGCACGGCAATATCAAGGGAAGGAGGAAGAACTAAGTACTCCCCTCGAGATGAATCCTCTAAGCTTCGCAAACTTGTGTAACTAACTGCAGAAAAGAGGCAGAAAGTGGCCGATCAGATGAGCTCTCAGTAGAGGCAGTTCTAGTGAAAGAAGGAGAGAAAACAGTGTCTAAATTCTCCCCAGTATATTAAGTTTCATGATGGAAAGCCAACTCTGATCCCCCGGGCAGCATGATGGATTTCAAACCCCCCCCCCCCCCCAACTACCACCAGACAACAAAGGAGGAATGAAGAGGGGGAATTCACACCCACATGTTTTTTCAACTGCAAAAGAATACCAATGAGATAGACAATTGGGAAAAAACACCACCAAACTCCTGTCAAAATGTTTCAAAAGGAAATGTTAACCACAAAACATAATTCCTAGCACTAGCGCTTTGTCAAGAAAAAGTGATTATATTGTTGACATGCAGTGTTTATATACAATACCTGCATAGAGGGTGTGTGAGGGCCAGTGTAAAGTTTTGCAAATTAGATATTGCTGAAGGCAGTCAAGTGTGGTATAAAGACTGGAGCAAGCAAACACGATGTTTAGATGGCAAAGATGAAGATCGAGAAATAGCTATAAGTGTCAGCAGAGGTATGTATGTTTTGGAATTAGTGTTTCTGATTATTATCTTTGATTATTTCAACTACTCAAGAAATTAAGTATTGCCATTATGATTTTTACTTATTTCTTTTGATTAAATGAAAATTGTTCAGCTTAATTACCTAACTGATAGTGTTTCTGATTATTCCAAGTAATCGAAATATTAGCTATTATTACTTCTATTGGTATAACTTCAAATGACAGTATACATGTGTTAGGCTTGTACACAACTCGTGAATGTGAGGGTTTGACTTAATGACCAATGATTACATTACCAGCTACAGTGACGCCTGTTGTTTGTGTCTACCTTGTAAGTATAAATAATAGTGTAGCTTTAACTTAACATACTGCTTACAAGCTACAAACATAACCAGTGTTACTGAGGATAAGATTGCTTTAAGAAAAAATACGTTACAAGAAGTTAATACATTGATTATTGTTTATTCACTCAAAAATAATATTGATTGTTAAATAATTCACTCTTTAAACTAACTTTTATTGCACTATACTGCATATATAAACAGCATCTCAGAGAATCTTTTTCTCTTATCATACAGACCAACTGATGAGTTCTGATACTAATATAAAAGCAGAAACTTGTAGAAGACAAAAATAAATGTGAAATACTACTTTTACACATTTCTGATTTTGAATCTGACATGGAAAAATTAAGAGGAAAGTGAAAAAACAAAATTTGCAATTAACATGTTTTTATCAAACATTTTAGGTTTCTATGGTTTTTACCAGCTTTCAGCATTTAAATTGTAACTTTCAAAGTATTATACTGAATATGTAATACTGTTAAGCCATTAAACTATAAATACAAATAAGACTTGTTTAATTATGACTATTTCTAGCTATACAGGAAGCACTGGAAAGGAACAAGAGGGAATCCTCAATAGCCATGGCTGTAATTATTAATTTTACTTTTTTCACAATGATGATGGAATTGTAAAAAAAAATTTCTAAAGATTTTTTGAAATTACGATGATTTTACCACTTCTTATAATACTTTGAATAATTTTAATCTCTGAAAAGAAGTCATCTATTATGTTTTCTTACAAACAGTAATTGTACTATTTGTTTACTTAGGAGTAACATGAATTTGTTTTCACTTAATTATATGTTATCTATTACACACTATGACAAGAATCTTTACTATTTTTGTCATGTGAAATCTATGAACAATTATTTTTACCCAGGAATTAGTTTATTTTGTTTTAGTAATCTTGTGAAAATCGGAAAGGGTGAGACCCATGGAACAGTATTACTCATATTTTCAGCAAGTTACAGATTTCATACTACATTGTGTATATGCATTTTCATCTAAACTGTTTAGCATTAATAAAAATAACTTAATCCTAAATTGTCATACACAAAGATGTCTATCATATTAAATGAAGGGTAGTTGATAATGTCTTTAAGAAAACATAAAACAAGCTGAAAATATGAAGATTAGTTTCATGTAAGAAGAACCAATTAGTTGAATATAATCGAATAATGAGCCAAACAATTAATAGATTAGCAAATCCCTCTAATTGCCCATCTATATTCAAGTAGTCCATGATACAGTACAGTTATGATATCTTTCAAGATATTTCAACGTTTGTGAAATGACCTTAAAAAAGTGATATACTGTAACAAACAAACCTCTAACATCTTGTCAATCTTTGTAAGAAACTCTTGTGGTTCAGGATTTCCTGCAACAACTTCAAGAGGAACACCATTTGGTCCAATAAAAAAGGAGGAGGGTATAATAACAACAGGATCTAATAAACTGGCTAAGAAAAATTACAGAGAAGGTACAACTACAGTTTCCAAGAAAAATGTTCCAATCATTTTGTCATATACATTATTAAACCAAAAAACATGTTCTCATCTTACATTTGGAAAACTTAAAAACTTTTATGATCACGAAATTATAATATACATAATATATATATATATATTTTAAAATACTATCAATCAGATCACAATATTAAAATGGATTGGACATTTTATTGTTGTTGTTGTAAGTAGAATCAGGTGATTCTACTTACCAAATGGATACCTCTAATAAGGAAGCATTAATTTGTATATTCTGTAGTACGAATACGAAAAGTAGTAAAAATGACTGAAAATAAAAAGTGGCTAACAAAGAGGGCTTGTTAGTTAAACTGAACACTTTAATTAGTATATACTTAAGACTTTTGAAATTCTTTGTAGGGTGGGCAAAAATCAGACTCTGTGTCTACCTAAAAAAAACACACAGTGGATCTCAAAAGTTTAGGAGCAAGTGGACTTATGGACAACTCAATTTTTAAATGTAAGACTATTACTGTAATACAGTTAGGATTAAATGTTTACTTGTTAGCCACATTTTATTTAATTACTGAATGGTTAAATATTGAAGAGAATGATGAACTTTACAGCAATTTATATTTCTGAACTTTTTTTGTCTAATAAAAAACAGACAAATAAAAATCATCTGTTCTTCTGCCTTTTGTATAAATGGTTTCTGGAATGACTGTTATGGATTTTCTTTGTAGAAATGTTATTATGAACACAGTGAAAGGATACAAATCTGTGAAAACTGTTTGCAGGGTTCACTGAAAAACAAAAGATAAATTGATATACACCTGTTTTTTAATACTGATACAAACCACGTAATAAACTGTACACATAGTTTTAAAATTAATCATTTCACAACAAAAAGATCTTTATGGCTAAACCATAATTCTAATATGGCATATTCAAACTAATTATGTTTGTTATGTCTACTTAAGCACATTAAATTCAGATCACTGAACATTTTAATGCAGTTCTTATATAGTTGTCATCACTTTTACTTGCAGTATCATGAATGCAACTGATTTCATGAAATGGTATACATTCACTGCAGACAAGATTACCCAAGACTAATTTTATTCATCATTCATCATTACTGTTCTATTTTAACAGTTTCAATAATTATTATTATTATTATGAAGATGTTACAGAACAGACCTTATTATTTGAGGACCTGGGTTAGTTTTTATTCTTTTCTGAATCAGTAAAATTCAATCATTATTGGTTTGGGAAATTACCTTGAAATGCTTCTTGGTAGGAAGGAGTTGAATGACAGGCTACAACAATTTCAGAAAGTGCTTATCTCTATCAATGCTTTTCTGCTATTGTCTATGCACAAATGTCTGGATGTAATGGGATGTGTCCATTGGATCAATAAACTAGAAGTAGCTTATATCTACTGGCAAGTCAAACTGATGATAACAGTAGACCTAAGACTGTTTAACTCACTTAGGAAGGACTGTATGAATTACACATCATGTCATACAGTATGTGTAATACACCTGCAGTTTTTGAAAGGCTGGTGGAGCTTTCACTTAGAAGATTACAATGTAATAGATGTCTTGTCTGTGTATGTGACATATCAGTCTTTAATTGCATATTTTCACTTTAGCTAAGAATGTGAGAATGGTAATGTAACATATTAAGTATTCAAACTTGAAAATTGAAATGAGGAATATCTGGGTCAATGTGCATGCAAATGGAATGTCTTGGTTACATAGTTTGTAGCTATGGAATGTATATTAATCTTGACAAGATCACAGTAGTTAAGGGCTAGCTTCAGCCTTGAGTTCATCTGAGTACTAGTGACAATACTATGAGTTCATTTACTGATGTTACAAGTGGCCTTCTGGCTGTATACTGTCTTATTGATTCCCCCACCTTTTGCTTTTCCAAGCTGCAGTATATGGCAGTGGAAAACAGAGCATTTGGTCAAAAAGAACTTAAGGTTAATGTACTGGAATCATAGGAGTATTGAGCAGAGGGGTGCTGTATTGGAGAGACTTAGCTATGAAGTGGGCATCATCCTTCTGCAAAAAACACAACTAGGCCATGTGAAGAACATAAGGTAGCACGAAATAAGACTGCTATGGAAGTGGCCATGGACTAGTAATAGTGGTGAGGAATATTCTGGCTTTTACAGAGTTATATATGTCACAATGCACAAATGATAAAATAAAACTGCAGAGTATTTGCATTCAGGAACACTCTGTAAACATCATTCTGTCTATATCCAAGAGTTTCACTGCTCAGTCAGATCACCAGTGACATTGGTTATTATTGTATACCTTCAGGGTCTGTGTGGGCTCGGCTCTGAGAATTTCTGGACATGTGGTTACCTTAATCATGGATCCAAAAGCACTACAGGTCCTTGAGATGGAATTTGTCATTCAATTCACATCTTCACCTCTATTATTCACCCAACCTGTAGGTTTCTATCTCTCACAGATCATCAGGAGTTGGAACTTAGTTCTAGGGCTATTAGGGTTGGTCTGGGGGAAGTAAGTGTGTCATGCTAGTTCTTCCGAGGTTTTAATCCTGTCAGTTGTTGGGCCTATGCAGACAGGAGATTGGGGTCCAGTCATTAATCTTTCTCATTTGATTTCTAAGGTTGCCATGTATCTGTCTCAGTTTTTGCTTACTCCGAGATGAGCATTTTTCAATGGAATTGACATGTATATCAGCACTGATGTATTGAGAGGAGGTTGAACCCATTTTGGTCAGAAGTGCTAACTATAACTTGTTTTTTGAACTGGCTCTTTGACAGATGTTTTTGCATCTTTTACAATTGTCCTATTTAAAGCTTCCTCATTAACTACCATTCAATTATTGCAACTACATAATTTTTGATTCCCCAGTACTCTCCGGATTCCTCAAGTAGTTTTGGGTCCTTGGTTCCAAATGACCATTCCATTTACCTAACAGGTATACTAAGATTACAGTATATGCTCTTTCTCAACACCTGTTTGTGTCCTGTATCCTCTTTACCTGAAAGTCTTTTTTTTTTATGGCTGCTGACCTACAGACATCACTGGTCAAACTGATTTGGATTGTTTGTACACAGACTGCTTTTTCATTATCTCTACATCCTCAGACCAGCTCTTCTTACCCAAGACACTGTCAGACAGGAAAGGGGTTAAAGTATTTTTCACCTATTCATCTGATCACTATTTCTCACTTCTATCTCCAATCAGATTTCGATCATGGTCATGTTCAGTGAGGGTCTTGAAGATCTTGTTGCCTGCTCTAATTCCTTTAGAGATGCTAGGCAACAACTTTTCTTCTGAGCTTTGTTTGAAGGCAAGGATTCTTCTACGAGTCACGTCTAATCAGATTTGTCACACTTCTATGTTCTTAGTGGTCCGGTCAAATTGCCTGTTATAGGTCATTGTGCAGACTGGTATGTGGACCTCCCCCGATACTTTTATCTCACATTATTTGCCTGATATGGCAGTCTCTTTATATGAGGGTTTTCGCCTACCTCCTGTAGCTATCTTAACCATTTCAGCTAGATTATACAGAAGGGCAAGTCTTTTCATTGCTACCTTTCAAGGTCCTTTAACTTGTGTTCACAGGATTCTACTCTGTGGCAAATGTTGCCCAGGCAGGTGTGCTTTTATCAAACCACTTTTATCTATCTGTGGTAGACAACAGTCAGGATGGACAAACACAGTATTAATGAATGGGAAAACAATTCACGAAAACAGTGAGGCATACAATGCAACAACATCCAGCATGAAAATGGTGGTCCTGGCCAATACCCACTACTTGAGATGCTCAAGTGCAAGGCATTCACATATGCAGTTTTGAAATAGACTCTAAAAGCACGTTGGAGAAAATACGAGCTGACATGTTGAATGGATAAGGTTGATCCCTAAACATGGCTCAAAAAGCTAATAAGGGCATTTTGTCCTGGATATGCCAGAGTAAAAGGGAAGAAAAGAGCAGGCAGGCTGGCTGATTCCATAAATAAATAAAAAACACATACAAGAGCAAGAATTTGACCTAGATACTAAGGTTTGTATATCTGACAAAGACAAAACTAAACTGAAAAGAAACTAAGGTGGAACTTTTTTTTTTCACTGGTCGTAGTGAAATAATATTTTGCAATGAGGCAAATGAAATATTAGTAGAATTTTGTGGCTTCATTTTTTAAAATTGAAATCACAATTACTTTTTCATTCAGAATAAAACATTATGTATCTATCATTTTCAATTGTTCTTGGTTTATAAATATGTTCAGTAATGCAACTGACTATTCCTGGATATTACAGAATGTATTATCTCAATACTTCTAAACAGACTAACTGTTACACGGATTGAACATTCACTAGTGCTTGGGAGAAGCACATTCTAACAAGAAGGGGGGGAAGAGCAAAACAACTGCAGAATCCTGAGATGAAGTAATTACATATCTAGATGTTTCATCTCTCCTTCAACCAAAAGAAGAGTTTCTCATCACTGAAGAAAGACAGAAAATAAAAGAACAATAGTCATCATCCCATCTCAGAATAGCTCTGCTCATGCTAACCAATTGCCACACTCATAATTGTGAACCTAACGTCCTTGTGGTGAATCTAAATCACCTTAAATCATTATTGCCTTTTAAAATAATCTTAACAACAAAGAAGCCACCACTGAACACCACAACAAAGCACACAGTGTGAAAATTCTAAGCAAAATTACATCTATTGCATAAAAAATTACAAATCATGAAAACATAAAACAGATTGCAATTAAAATTTAAACAAAAAAAATGGAAAAAATAGAAATCTAAAGGAAAGAAAAGCATTAATTTAAACCAGATGGTTGTATGGTCCCCAGATTGTATGCCTATGTGGATTTAACTATATTTGCTTTTTACAATCAATTAGACACTTTATCGAATGAAAATTTTAGACTTGTGACAATTTTCTTGACAAGAAAATTTAAGTAATCTCTTTTGATTCAATCCAGATGCCCTTCCATTAACAGGTACAATGCCTGACCCCTATAATACTTTTTTTATAATTTTTCTTTTCTTTCTTTCTTTTTTTAACATTTACTATTATGATCAGTGACTCTAACCCATTTAACAATCCTTTTAGCAAGCTTCACGTGTACTGTTCTTATATTGTTGTAGATCTATATACTTTTAGGTTACTCTAATTTAAAATCAGTGTGATGTTCATTGACCCTTTAAAAAGGCATAAGCCAAAATACTGGGTTGCATAAATTACCTTTTATCTGAAGTTGTTTGTTGTCTTCATTGAAAATAGAAATTCACCCACACAAATAAATATATAATACTAAGACTATCCAATGAATTGTCAACACTTTAATATTTTTGTGGTTTAATTTCCCATTCACCTATATTGTATGTTTATACTGCATTGCTGGTGTAGAATAGGCATCTCACACATGCATAAGGTTATCTGTTTTTTACACGGGAACTTTTTCTTGAGACATCGAAGGGGTAATTTCATCCAATCAGAGATAGCCTTGCTTAGGTCAAATCCGAGTTGCGTAAAGATGGCGTCCCAGACGCCAAGAAAACGAATGTCAAAAGAAATCAAACCAATATGTATTATTTAGTATAAATGTCGATGGTGTGGTTGTCTTGATAACAGATGCCTCAATCTTATCATTCTTACATTCAACAGCTTCATTATACTACTATAGTGCCTCAAATATAGTACATTTACATTCAACAGCTTCAGTATACACACTAATATAAGTTTAATACTTTAAGTGGTGTGGATAATACAGATTTCATTGCATTAGCCATAGTTGCTAAAGGATTTATTTGGCAAGAGTGAGCAGAGATTAGGATTCCATCAAGAGTGGTTCAGCCACTAGTATGGCTCCTAACCAAAGCACCAGTAAGAATCCTGAAGCATTTTACAACCAGAAACACTGAAAAATGGTGCCATTATAGCCAGAAACAAGTAATAAGATAGGCTCTCTGCAAAATGAAATTTGGCCACCAATAAGAAAGGATAAAAAATTATACGCTAACATTTAAACATAAAATATTTTTAACTGAATGGGCTCAAATTATGCAGAAATTAATAGAAATTTTTGCAAGAATTTTTTAACCATTAGGAAAGTTGGTATTCAGTGTTTTTAAGCCTACAAGAAGGTCAAAGTCAGCTAGTATTTTAGAATCACATAATATATTTTACATGTATATAACTGCTAGAAGAGAATCCACAGTTATATGCAGAACACATGATACACTATTACACTGGGCTTCCAAATGCTAGTTACCACAACACAGTTTACAAATTCTTTTTTAATTTTCATGTGTCTGAGACTAATAATCATAGCACATGGAGCTTACAAAGCATCAGTACATTTGTGTGCTGCAAATTAAATGATAATCATGCAGAAGAGGTTTAGATGTGTGACAACAAATTTTTTAAACATCCTGTAGAATAAATTCACTATTTAGATTCAAAGTTCCATGGTTCATCTCACTGTGTTTAAATTTTAATATCAAAAAACAAATATCTATTGGAACTGACACTTTAATGTCTGTGTGCACAATGAAGAATATATAGTATTTCAAGAAATTATGCAGACATACTAAAATAACAAAAATGTATTAATGAGATAAAGTAAATTATAAATTTCAGTCACAGAGTGCAATACTTAAAGGTCTAGTACATACATGCATGTCTTTTTTAATGCTTAACATAACCATCTTAAAACACCAAAAATGCATGATCATGCCTATATAATCAAGGACAATCTCTGTGTGCTTGCGTGTATAAAGGTTGAACCATACCTTGCCCCCACATATGAATATAGATACTATGTATACCAAGAATTTTTATATTATAGTTATAAATTAACTACTTGACTACCAACAAATCTGTATATAAAAGAATTTTCCAATAAACTAATTAGCATATTTTATCTTTAATACAGATTGAAACGTACACCATGTGTATTGCTTCAACATTCAGTATTATACTTCATATTCTGTACTTATAAAAGATAAACCAAAAAGCATAATGCAGTGATCCAAAATAACACAAATATCATCCTTATGAATTACAGGCACTGATTTTATTAGTGAATAATATTTTTGAACATACATTTAACTGCCATCTTTTATCAGAAGAAATTACATCTTTCCTAAACAAAGTATTTAAACTTAACCATCATCAATCATTGTCTGTTGATTGTTTTGAAAAACGTTTTTTTTTCCCACAAAAAATTTAATTATTGAAGTATTTCATCTGGGTACTAAATTATCTTTATATTTTCCTACCTTTTAGCTTTCAGTTTCAAGGCTATACAACCACAAGCTTCAAGTTTCTGAGAAACTTCTGAATTGTTGTATGTTTCTGCCATTTTTTTGGATATTTCATCATCATCTGTAATAATGCATTTACAATTTTAACCCCTAAATACAATAAGTTATATAACAATATATTCTTACAAGATTATCAACAAAACATAACAAAATTCTAAAAAATAATAAGGAACTACAATGAAAAGAAAATGACAAAGGAAAATCTTTTTTCTGCAACTAAACATCATGGAAAAATGAGCCATGAAACACTTCAACAAATGTGTGAATGTCTTAATTGGGATTAGTTTAAACAAAGGTAAGAGATAGGGAAAGAAAATACAGTTAGTTTTTGACCAAAAAGTTTTACTGGGACTTCAGAAATATTAAAGATAAAACATAATAAGGATGTAAAAACTAAATTCCTATTGTTGAAAAAAATATATATATAGAAATTCAAGACAGAGCATGGGTATTTAAAAACTTGTAAAATAATAAATTAGAAATACTATATGGCTACTGTAAAATGAACTCCAGGTACAAATTTTTTTTACTCTTTTTTTTTTCAGTGTTTATATCTACAAGATGATGATAAAAAATAGCTTAGATGAGGGCTTGTTACAAATTAGCTACTACTACTACTAATAATTGTTATCATACCAATAACCTAATTCTTTCCAGCTGGACATATTATAAAAGCAAAGTTACAAAGATTTATGCTTGTCATCACCAGAAGCTACTAAGTAAGCAATCTACTGTTTTGTGTCAAGATTAGCAACATATTCACAACCAAAAAACAATACTCTTAAAACTTTTAAAAGCAAACAGAATAATGTCCTTAAATCTGTGTGAGAGGTTTTGGTGTTATTTGGTCTAAAAATATTCCCTCATGAGAAGCATACAGATAATTACTGGACAGTAACACACAATAACCCATAACTGATGTTTGACAGTTCTGTTATTTTCAATAAATCGGTGATAGTGTTAGTTGGCAAAAAAGTCCCAGGTTCAAAGATCTTTAACTACTTTCAACTAATTCCAGAATTTAAAAATTTATGTTAAGAGAATCACACACAATTAATTAAGTTTGCAAAAAAAATCAACAAAAAAAAACCTTGCATTAATCCTTTTGGTACCACTTTTGTTGTATTCTTAAAATGTAAAAAAACATAAAGATAGAAATGACCTAGAATAAATAAGAAATGCTTTCTGCATTTTTGGACATTTTTCCCATGCATGGTTACTGAAATTTGCTTATAGGACATGTGTGTCCCAACAGATGTTGTTGGGTTACAGCACCCATTTATGAAAACATGTTATAAATATACATTCTGAGGTGAAACACAAGAACATCTTGTAATCAAAATTTTATTTCCACAATTGTGAAAAAAAAATATTCTTACAAGGTATTCTGATTCATACAACAACATATCTTGAATAAGTTTTAGCCACAGTATATCAATATGAAATGAAGAACATCCAAGAGATAACATCTGCTATAACACATGAATGCCTATGGGATATAGGGGTCAGCCCTACACAAATATGTACTGGAATATATATATATTATCCAATGGCACTAAAAGGGTTAAGCCTAAGAACCTACCATGTATATCATAGACTATTTTCTGATTATATACTGTTAGGAATAAAAAGTTTAGTTAAATGTGTATACTTATAGTTTAAGGGAAATAACTGTAGTTATATTCCTATGAAGTGTAGAAGGAACTTAATGGGACAGGTGTTTTAAAGTAAACAGTGTTGATGAAAACTTTTATTATTTTTGTCATTTTTTTTGTCACACCTGATATGACTTGTGTATTTAAAGTTAAATACATAGTCAATAAGCATGAGGAAGAACCATGACATTAAACTAATGAACTAATCAATCATCTTATATTTCAAGCTTAAATTTTTATGCTTTTTTATGGCATAGGAACCTAAATTATCTAACAGTATACATGATTATCTATTTTTTTAAGTAAGAAGAAACTAGATATAGATATCTCTTCATACTGACTAATTGAAGTTTTCAGTAAATGTGAGTTTAATGGTTTTGTTCCCTGCTCTAATTCCTTTAGAGATGCTAGGCAACGACTTTTCTTCTGGGATTTCTTTGAAGGCAAGGATTCTTCTGTGAGTCATGTCTAATCAGATTTGTCACACTTCTAGTTCTTATTGGGCCAGTGAAACTGCCTGCTAAAGGTCATTGTGTGGACTGGTATGTGGACCTCTCCCAATACTTTTATCTCACATTATTTGCCGGATCTGGCAGTCTTTTCACCTGAGGGTTTTTGCCTACCTCCTGTAGCTATCTTAACCACTTTTTTTTACCCAATGTTGATATTATTACAACATTGTAGTCAAGAAGTTGTTACTAATTGTAATGTTAACTGTTAAGCTGTCTAAAAACAAAAATGTTTTTGTTCATCTAGTTATCATGCAGACATTTTATGATCAACCCTTAGAATGTCTCCATGCTAGATTAAAATCCAGCTTTCGCCGAGGATGGACTTGTGCTTCCTTGTTATGATAAAGCAGGAAATTCAAGTAGGTCTAGACAGTTTTCTCCCAGTGTCATAATTTTCAACCAAGCTTTCATTTTGTGTTTTGTGTATAAGTTTACTAGGTTTTCCTTAAGCCAAACAGTCAACCCTTTATGATCAATCTTCAGAATGTTTCCATGTTAAATTTAAACTCAGCTTTCATTAAGGATGGACATGCCCTTCCCAGTTACTTAATTTTCAGCCAAGCTCACTTTTCCTGTTTTGTACATAAATGTAACTAGCTTTCTCTAAAGTCAAACAAAGTTAGCTTTCTGACTCCTAGTATTAGAACTAGGTGTTGGAACTCTGCTCTTAAAGCACAATAATCAAAGCTTGTTCTATGTTGAGTGTTCAGATCCTGCAACCTCTAAGAAAATAGTGATTGTGTAACCATAGTAAAAAACAACAACAATTAATTTCATTCCTGGTTATTCAACATTTTGTAGACTTTGTCAAATATTTTTTACATTAAAGTAACACATTTGCAAAGTAAAGGACAACATCCATTAGATGATCAACACTAGAATTCCACAATGCACGAGTTTAAACAGACTCTTTTGTAAATAATAGTTTTTTGAACACTCACTAGATTTAAGTCTGGTTTATACAATCTTTGTATACTACCCCTCTTCCCCATATATATTCACCTTTTATTTCTATTAGACTGAAGCACAAAAGATTGTATGTCAGTAAATTGTCATCATTTTTCAGTACTGGAAATTACACTATTCTTGCAGTATCTATAAAGTTGTGCAATAATTTACTCTATTGGTAAATATAAAAACTAGAAGGGATTTTGTTTCATTACATACACACTGCCATCAACACTCAAGTTGCTGACTAAGCAGTCAACACTTCCATTAGAGGGTGCCACTGTGTATTATGTGCCCAGAATCTTCCTTTGAACTCCAAAAATATAATTTGTGGAAGTCCCTAGGATGTCCATGCCTTGATCCCATGTGCCCAAAGCTTGCCTAATCACAAGCATCAGGTCTCCAGTGTCTACAAATAAATTACCTCACCTGTAGAACTTTTTAGTAATTTAATTTACAAAAAATGTGCTTTTCGTATATACAATAATATTTGAAAGATAATTAATCATTGGAGACAAGATTTGAACAGCATTTGAATTGCCAATAAATATCAAATGCTATTTCTATTACATGGGTTATACAAACCTTACAATTTTTTTTTATCCAAGACTTTTTCAGATTTTGCCAAAATTATTTCACACTTTAAAACATTAATAACAATTATAAAAAATGAAAACATGATACACCGGTAACTTTATTTTCAGACTATAAATCCAGATAAATGATACACAATAAATTAATAAAATAAATGTGAGTTACTGAGTAATTCAAAATATAGGAAAGAAAAGTGAGCAAAATTTCATTTTTAGAGGCACTAAAGGTTAAAGAAAAACACAAAAGACAGAAAAAAAATGAGAGAACATAGAGTGTACATTAGAGCTGGATGAATTAAGTGTTAAATAAACTGCAAGTTTAGCTTTTTTTTGACATTGTGTGTTATGTTTCTAATTTTAATGGATAACTACTTTCTTTAATGTTGTACAAGCAGGGAAGGATATAAAGGAGTCTAAATGTCTGAACCTCCTCCATTTGTACTCTTACATGATATATAAGCATGCACATATCTAGGAGGCCCAGGGAAGCCAAACCCTTTCCATCCATTTTTTTCAGAAATTAATAACTGTATTCTTTAATACCGTATAAGCAGGCATAGATCCAGAGAAGTCTGAAACCTCCTTCTTCCACTGTCTTACACTATTATACAATATAAAAAATAAACACATGTCAGTATTTTTTCCTAATTGGGCTATTAATTACTATAAAAACTTTTTTTGTTTTCTGAAATCAACGACGTGTATTGTCGTGGAGAAGAACACCTTTTCAATTGACGAGTGAAGGGTGTTTCTGATGAAGGGCTTGATTTAAATGTTCCAGTTGCTGACTATAGATCTCTGCATTAACAGTTCACTGTGGATTGAGGAGTTCGAAATGAATTACTCCTTTGATGTCCCACCATATAGAAGGAAACTGGACCAATCCCAATTCAGAGCATCCCCAACTAGAGCTGTAGGTTTCTAGTGAACAGAAACGTGGAACCGTAGTGATGATAGCAGTCACAAAAACAAGACAGCAAATTTACCACCAAGTTAAAACACTAGACATGACAAGCCGACAATAGATTACGGTGGTACTAGGCACAAATGCCTCAAGAGAAAGTGTTAGTTAAAGGAGGATGTATGTCAAGGATTCTGTGAGATAAAATGAGCCACCATAACATTGAAAAGAAGAAATGGAAGAAGAGACATAAGACAGTAGATCTCTGTACATATTCTAGAGATTGATCAGAAGAACTTGAAAAGGACATATATAGGTGTATCTGAGAGGAACAAAGGAATCAAGAGAAGTCAGAGTCCCCAAAAATAGATAGAGCCTTTCATGAAAGAGGAGAAAGAGACACGAGTGCTGTGGTGACAAGAAGCTCCATGTCTCAAAAATGTAGCATGATC